AGAAACTATTCACATCAGTTGAAATAAAAGATGTTGGTATTCAAAGAAAAAAACAGGGGCCAGCCCTGTGGCGTAGCAATTAAGTTCACGCGCTCCGCTCCGGCGGCCCGGGGTTCACAGATTCGGATTCTGGGCGCAGACGGATGCACCGCTTGTCAAGCCATCCTGTGGCGGCGCCCCATATAAAGTAGAGGAAGATGGGCACCAGGGCCCATCTTCCTCAGCAAAAAGAGGAAGACTGGCAACAGATGTTAGCTCAGGGCTAATCTTCCTCAAAAAAATTTTAAAAAACAAAGAATTCACTGACTATTTTGATAGTCAATGGCTTACTCCACTTACAAGCAAAAATTTTATACTTAGGACAGTTATTTCCCTCTTCCCGTTATTCTTTGTGCCAAACTCCCGGAGCCAATCTGCCTACTATAGCCCACAGCCTTTTCCAATGAGTTGACAAGGTATACCAAGCATGAGCTTTCCCTAGTAACCTCTGACTTTAATATACCTAACTGCATTCTAAACACTCCCCAAAGTATTTTTTACAAACTATCCAAATTCTCTATTCAAAGTCGAGCTATAGCCGTAGTTTTAGTTCCCCAGCTTGCACAGGGCAGTTATTCTTCACAGACACACTAACAAAAGCAGTTATTCTTCATAGACACACAAACAAAATGTTCTTCAAAATGATGAACAGGAAAGTATTTCATTCAATAAATAGAACAGGTTACTTACCTATAATGCTGATTCTCTGACAGATAAAACCAAGTAATCATGATTACAGTTACAGAGCTTAAACTCGGGCTAAAGAATTTTGAAAACTGAGTACCCAAGATCTGCTCCATGTGAATTCTCAGCCTAGAAACCCAAAAGTCCACGGAACAAGTCCTTATTGGATGAGGTAACCAAGTATAGGTCAGACTATGAATTAGAAGATAGGAGTTCTAATCCCATTTCTACCAATAATTCATCATGATACTTAAATAACTTAAAAACCTTAATTATGAGTTAGGAAATGAGGAGTGCATAATGCCACCTATGCTGTCTCCTTTCGAGTTGTTGTGGGTGTCAAATGAGAAACTACATGAAATTGCTTTGTAAATGATAAACCACAGTACAAAGGTAAAATTATTTTATCCAGTGCAGGATGACTCCTCTAGTGCTTTTAAGCAAAATCCATCCCTAGTCTTGGAGTTTTCTGGCTCCTTGAAAGAAATTCTTTGACAAACAGTAAAAGTAGTCTCACAGGAAGTGAGTCTGTAAGAACTGATGAGGATTTTCTCTATGCAGCTTCTGAAATTGATAAAGATATCAAACGGTTCATCATAAGCATGGTGCAACAGGATATATCATAATTATTTAGTACATTAACATTTTCAGAGAACCAAGTTTGAAACTACAATTCTTGTAAATATTCTCTAATATGGCTTGAAAATTAGATTCTTACCTGGAGACTACATGAGCAATACTCTTAGATGAGCAAGAACTATCTTACTCATACACTTTCATTATCTAGACACTTAAAAATTGGTATCAACATTGGCAATACTATCAGTGAGTTAATCTTTTGTGAGACCTCAAGAATCGAGAAACCCTGAATCTGACTTTTCACCCTCTATCTGTTCATGACAGGTTACAAGATCCTTAACTGAAACTATACAAGGCCCTTCAAATATAAATTTAACTACTCTTGCACAATAAGAATTCAGAGGCGACTGAACAAATCACATTTTCACTTGAAATTTTATTTTCCAGTGATTGCCTTGTGAAATGGAAGAAAAGCTCTGAACATTAAAGCCCAGGACCCAAAATCTTCCATATCTGCTCTCCCTAGAGCCAGAACTTGAAAACTTAGAGATCAGTTTCAGTGCTTCTGATTCAAAATGAGCAAAAGACCAATTCCCAAACAGAAAGGGCAATCCACAGTTAAGTACATGATCTCAGTCAGTCTGGCTATTTAGGCCAAAAAGAGAGTCACTAGGTATTATCTACCACTTTAACAGAATCCATCAATCTTGAAGATCAGAGAGTTTTGAGACAAAATATATCTCTTTTGATTGCCCAGCCCCTAATCTTTGAGAAGGCACATCTAGTAAAATAATCCACAGCCGGAATTTTGCCAGAGAAAAATATACTCTTTAGTCCTTTACTCATAGAGGAGTTCTTCATTTGGAAAAATAAATATATAAAAGCACACTGTGGGTTTATGTGCTGGAGAAGAGGGGTGGCATCTAGAGAGGAAACAAGGTAAGTATCCAGAACATCTGCAGATTCATTTCTCTCGCCTATGACCTAATTTCCACGAATCAGGTCTAAGGCTAGGACTCTACACACAATAACATTTACAAGTGATGAGACGACTCTACATGTGATATCCTTACAAGCAAGATGGATAAATTACAGGCTGAATGCTAGAACAGAAGGTTGCTGATGAACTAATCAATGTTAATTTAGAGGAGAGTTGAACTGGAACAAAGAAGAGCCATGTCCTCCTGGCTCCAAAGAACTAAACCATGCTCAGTGTTTTCTATTAATAACGTATTTTTTAAACTGGCTATCAGGAAGTACTCATTCCCTACCGGTAAAGACATTTCACGTGTAGGCTGGGCAATGGCCAATTCCCAGTTTCAAAACATAATTATCTGGAGAAATTTTCCAGCATGAGAAGAATAAAAAAGAAAAAAAAAAATTTGATAGGGGGTGTATGCACATCTGTGTATGCAGGAAGATAATAATCCATCTACCCCGTGTTTTTTTTTTCTTTACCCCAAGTGCCTTTTAATAACAATTTCAAACTGCCAGAAATTTACTTGAGACTCGGAAGCATTAGACGTATCATGATGCTATTCTTAACAATGACAATTTGGGTAAAAAGAGCCAACGCTACATCCAATCATCTCTTGGCTCTACACAAAAAGCATAGGAATAGGGACTTTACTGAAGAGATTACATCTGACATGATCAAATTTACCCTCTCCCAATTTTCCTTAAATTATCTCTAACCAAGATGCTAATCAAGATGCCCCCTCTCTTCATCTCATTTCTCCTGATCTGCTTCCTTTAGGGAAAAAAAAAAGTTAAAAGTGAAGTGTCAAAAGGTGCTCTCTTCAAAAGTCTTGGAGCAAGGTAAAAAAGCAAGGACTGATTTCTTTTGCCCAAAGTCACCCAATGAGGCATTAATTTGAGAACACTGTCCTAACAAAGCAACTAACATCCAAATTTCATAGGACTCTGTATATCCTAAGGAACCCATGAAACTGTATTGCTCTCATTCCCAAAGGCTTAGGAATACAGAACATCACTTTTTAAGTGTTATGGCCACTATCTTGAGACAATTGTTTATAAGAACATCATCATCCTTCAGAATCATCATCAGGAAAGCTCTTACAACAAAAGTAACATAATTAATGGGAAAATATTTTCCATCATCAATAACCAGCTAAGCCTTAAGAGAGCATCTCTTTCGCCAAAGAAACAATAATAAGCAAAGAACAGAATTAGCCAAATATCATTTTGTAAAAATGCACATTTTTTGAGCTTTTGGTATTTCCCCAAGACATATGCTCTGCTCCTTTGTGCCTAGAGATAAGTGATACTTTTAAAAACTGACACATAATACTGATGGTAAGAACTCAACTAACCTAAAATAGAAAAAACTTCACTTACAAGTTTTCTACCTCAAATTGGACTTTAAAACACTTTAAATACATGAAAATGCTAACAGTTCCACAAAATAAATGAATAAAGTGCTCAGATAAAAGGACCTCTCTATTAAACCCTATACTAAAATACTATTTACAAAGAAAACAGACGAAAATTTTTAGTAAAGAGACCTATACTAAAAGGCCACCATATTATCATATCCAAAATCTGAACTATCTATAATACACGGCAAAAACTTATTATGTTCCACAACCAGGATTTGATACTTTGACCTGATACATACCAGGATCTGACAACTACCACAACAAAAACATTACAAAGGTTCTTCAAATCAGTATTTTAATGCAGTCTGTATAATCTGATTGGGATATTAATTCAAAAGCCTGCTCTGTAGAAGTAAAGGTGATTAACATATATAAATGTACCTTTCACTGTTGGTTATCATGACATTTATGATAAGCACTGTTTGTTAACAGTTCCTTTCAGGTTTATTTAGACATAGCTCCAATTCATTTGTGTTACCGCCAAGAATACTTCAAAGGAAATCTAAGCAAAACTGTGATAAATTTGGACACTTAATTCTTTATTTTAAAGAGTGCCTTTATCACAAAGGTTAAGAACTGAAAGTATTTTAAGATATAGTCTCCCCTTGTAATTTAGAATCAGGAAAAAGCTGTCTCAAAATGCTCTATGTAAACTATGGAGCAGGCTCTTTCTAATATGCTAATTATGACATACAACTAGCTGTCATAGTATTAACAGTAATATCTACTTCTCTAAATCACAAAAGTGAAAAATGATGCATAAAGCACACTTTAAATCAAAAGTTTTAATTGGAAATTAGATATAAGCAACTAAGATAAAAGTAGATTTGTAGCTTGCTAGATTTTCCTTATCTGGATGTTGTCTAAGCACTCATCAGTTGCTCTACTCTATCTGGTAGGCATAGACACTTCATAACCTTCTACAACTATAAATCAAAGTGTATTGTGATAACTAACAATGTTTCCATTTTATAAATTAACTCAAATGGTATAAAACTTATTAAAAAACAAAACACCATCAACCCTGTTTCTACAGGTCTTTTCTGAGATGTGTGAAAAACCAAATCTAGAAAACCATATTGTCACTGAGAAGAGTAATAAAGTTGAGTTTTAAAGTCTTTCTTTTTTTTGGAGTTTTTTTAAGAGTTGAGAAAATCATTACATTAAAGCTAAAATTTCAGCTAAAGCATTCATTTTAGCTGTAATAAAAACACTAGGAATAGACATTTATGACTAGATACTGAAAACGTGGGGAATAATAAACAAAGCAGAATTCATGGTTACCATATTTACACATACTCTTTGTTGTGTTTCAGTGCCACATGATCTGATTCAAAGTAATAAACATCAGGATCATCATCTTCCTCTTCTGTAATGTGCGGATTGGCACTCTCTTTGGCAGATGGCAAATGTCCAATATTGAGTCTTGCCTCTGAGGGTGGCTTACTTAGTCCTTCACTCCCATTATTTTCAGAGTCACAACATATCCCTTTTTCACTCTGAGAAATTTCATCAGGATTTCTGGGAGACTCACTTATATTATCACTAACAGTTGCATTTGTTTCATTGGGACTAAGATTATTCTCCTCAAATTGTCCATTTTCTCTGCAAGGAGAAGTGTTTTTAGTGGGACTACCTCTGGTAGGGGCCGCCCTTCGTGGTGAAGTTCTCAGAGTATATCGATGTTCTTGAGGTTCTGATAAAGACATCATTTGAGCTGAAACACAGTCTAGAACAGAAGATGGTTCTGATTCTCCAGAGACTGGCATATTCTCAAGACTTGTGTCCAGGGCGTTATTGGTGTTTTCATTACACTGCTCTTTTGAGGCACTGCTATCTCCCACCACATCTACTTCCTCCTCAGAATCCCTTAAAGATGACTGAATTTCAGAAAAGGGGCCTGTAGCTGGCTCAGTAGTCAGCTGGTTAACATGTTCCACAGGCAGGCAGGCAGTTACTATTTTGTGGTCCTCCAGCTTGACCTGCACTTCTGAATTTGTGCAAGGCACGTTATGGTCTATATAACTGTCCTCCTTTCTACTATCAAGGAACATTGAAGTGTGGGTATCCGAATCCCCATTTTCAGCTACTGATTTTTCCTGCAACACATAGGAACCAGTGCTATTTTGTTTAGTGTTCCCATCAGGCTGACAGTCATCACAGTTTATAACAGCTGAATCACTGTCATCAACACCATTGACAGCCAAATAGCCTGTGATTTCTTCAACTACTGCAGAATTAAGTGGCCCTTCCTCACTGACATTCACCTTTTTAATTTCCCTTTTCTCACAATCATCCAGTATAAGACATCGACAAGCTCGTTTAGTCCCTTGAAAATCTGCATCATTGTCCACTACTGTACTCCTCTGTTCTACTGACTCCTTGTCTGATTTTATAGGTGAATCTTCTTCTGAACTGTTTGGTGCTTCAGATCTAAGACAACGCTTAATTCTTTTTAAAACTGGTGAAACAGGTTCTGTTTGCCTTCTCTCACAATTTTCTACAGCCTGCCTTTCTACGTTATCTTTTTCTGAAGAAGAAAGTCCTCTTTTCCTAGGGCTTACCCATGATTCTCGAGTACTTTGCTGTTTTAAATCAGTAGTTCTTCCACTATTATTTCCTTTCTGAATTTGCACAGGCTCTGGTTTCTTCTTTGGTGACCTTGACCGTACTTGAGAATGAGAAGAGATTTCTTCAGGGTGAGCAATGCTACGATTCCTTAAAGTTCTACCACAAAAAGATTCATCCAAGCCGTTTAACCCCACTGTTGATCTTGTAACACGAGTAGATCGGGAAGCAGCCATACTATGGCAAGTCCCTACAATACGGTCATCATGATCCACTCATTGGGAAACCTTCAAAAATGTAAACAAAATAATGAGAAAAAGGTAATAGTTAATATACCTAAAACAAAAGTATAAAGCTATAACTTTTTAATCCAAGTATAGCCAATACTAATAAATTATGACAAAATTTCTTTTATTAACATTTTGAAAAATGATATTATTAATAGCTAACAATTATATGGTACTTAATATGATCCAGGCATCGTTCTACATACTTTACATAATTAACTCACTTAAGTCTCACAACAACTAGGATAGGTGCTTTTATCATCCCTACTTTACAAACAAGGAGATCAAGGCACATACAGTTTAAGTAATCTGTCCAAAGTCACACAGCTAGTAAGTGGAAGGGCAGGGCTCTAGAGACCCTGCTCTTAACCTGCCTCACTGTGTATCTGCCTCTCAGATACATAGGCACAAAGGGCCCAGAAAAGATCTCTCTCAAAGACAGGATTTCATCTTGGTTATTAAATAATAATCTTGAATTTATATAGCAGCTATCACAAAAACTATCCCACAATCATTTCTCATGTTTCCTCAAAACATTCCTGGGAGGCAGGAATTAAAAAGGCAGCAATTAAAAAGGCAGGCTCTGCTCTTTTTAATTCACTCTCACTAAAATGAGTTTCCGGTCAAATCTTTTGATAATAAACTATGTGGCATCCAAAAAATTTTGGTTGCAGTAGAATTTCTGTAATTAAGCAGACGGAAAGAAATCACAATTCTAGCTTGCACTTGCTAAGAGCAAAACAGCAAAGCCAGCCTCCCCAGTCTCTAGAAGGAGAGTCATAAATTAGCAAGTGAAGGGAAGTATTTCAAAGAGGATAGAAGAAAAAGGGAAAGAAGACTCCGAAGCAAATATTACATTTAAAAAATCAGGAGTACACATATAACCTCATCCTTTCCTTCTTCGAACTCCTGTGTATATGTGTATGCCACAGTTTTAATGCCTGTTGGGGAGATGAGTAAGTTTTCTGGTGTGGATGTTTGGAGTTTCTAAGATAGAAATGCGAGGGAAACTGAAAAACTCCCTGATTGATCCATTTGGATAAACTCTGAGTGGTTTAGTGATATTTTCCAAAGGCTCTCCCATCAAGCAGAATACAGGAGCTATTAAAAGTTCAAGTCTCCATTCTTCTGATCCTCTCTGTTTAGCTTTTCACAAGATACTTTGCCTCTACACTGCCAGCTTCGAATGGGGTGCAGGATGGATAGAGAAAGAGGCCAATAAATGGCTGTAGTACAAAGTTTCACAGTACCCACCCTCCCCTTTGCCATCCTTCCCATAGCCTCCTTCTCCTATAAGCCTCCAAACGCCATTCTACCCTCCCCCCGCAAATCAAATACAATCCTCCTTTGCCTCAGCTGGAAATGTCTAACAATGGAAAAGTTATGAAGAACTAGAAGACACAGCAACACGCTACCACATACAAAAAAAGGAAACATTAAAGGAAACTGTCTTCCTGTTCCTGCCTGTTGACAAATGAATTGAGAAAGTATCCTGTAAAATATATAAGGTGGTTGAATTTAGTTTTATTTCAGAGTATGGCATACCTCTAAATTTTTAATTAACAATTTTTAAAAATCGTACAAGACTAACAAAACCAGCCCTGGGATTAAAGCATGATAATTTGTTCCAGAGAATTCCATAGCAATCAAATGAACACTAAGTGTGGGACACCAATCAGAACTCACAGTAAACTTCGTTTTGGGATGCATTAGAGGGACCTGACATGCAATTCTCTTTTGCTAAAATCTTTTCAAGATTACAATCTATCTATTTTTATTCACAGGTAATAAACAGTGAATGTCCCATAAATACTACTTTTAATTACCAAAAACTTAAGTTATACTTCAAATGATGTTTCAAAAGAGCACAAACTAAAAAATATTAAAATCAATTTGTTTCATGTACCCAAATCTGGAGCTCTCAAATTTGAAGGTTACTGATTTTTAAATATTAAATACCTATGTAAATATACAAAGAAAACATAAGTTAATTTTATAAACTTTACTTACAAAATCTAATGCAAATATCTTTAAGGCAAATTCAATTATATTCATAATTTATTGTTCAAAATAATATTGGCAACAGTAATATTTTATAAACAAAAAAGAATCTGTTAATCTTTACATTTTAAAATGTGATGCCAATTAAGGACTTATAAACCTCAAATGATTCCAATAACAAACATTCCTAGCCTTTCCTTTCTTTCCACACCAATCCAAATGAGAGCAAAATCTCTGCCTCATCATTATTAATGAAATAAACCTATTATTATTAGTACTCAGAACTACTTATAAAAACAAACCATATATATCTCATTATAAAATACTGCCTATAACGAGGGCCTATTTTATTTTCTCACCATTCCAGTGATCACAACACTGATTAATATGAAAGATTAAACCTCTTTTTATTTCTTTTGCTCCCTAAAAATATTTTTAACTCCATTCAACAACTACAATGAAGCCCATGTTTTAGAGTTCTCAAATCCTGTGCTATCAGGCCATATTTACAGCAAATCTGTTTCATAACAAAGACTCTTCTGGTACCTCAAACTCTTGCAACTCAAAGTGTGGCCTGAGAACCAGCATCATGGGCATCTCCTAGAAGTTTGTTAGAAATGCAGAATATCAGACCCTGCCCCAGACTTATCAATTTATCAGAGTCTCAGGTGACTTATATGCCTACTAGGGTTTGAGAACCACTGCCTTAGATCACTGAAACCAGACAGTATTCTATTAAAATAATATAGTCATCAAGTTTCAAACTAAATTAGATCTATTTATAATATAGCCTTTAATTCCTTATTTGATCCTAATATTAAAAAATTTATAAATAAAGCCACTATTCCCTTGGCTAAGGAAGTACCAAATAGAGGACTATAAAAATTTCTTTCCTGAAATTAACATACTACATGCACTTAAGGTAATAAATTGGTTAAAATTCTGAAGATTAGAGTTAAATGAAATTGTAACCCTCTTCCCTCTGATGATTTTTTCCTTCTGTTCTAACGTTTTTCTTCATATCTTTTCCATTTTGGATAGCCATATGTAAAGGCACATATCTTCCGTAGATATCTGATAAACTGCAAAATTCAATTACCAAAAAAGGACTAAAAATGTCCTGATTATCTCAACCAAGTCTCAACATTGTTTTGCCATGCTTAGCAATGTATTAGAGACTAAGGCAGTTGTTTCCTTCATTTTATAATACAGAGTTACTGAAAAGATTCAGTGAAGAGGCTTGGATCACAAAATTATATTCCTGTCAAAAATTAAGTTGCTAAGGAAACAGAAAGGAACTCATTTACAAACTAAGTATCTCAGAAAATAACCCTGCTAGTTAACTAAATAGGAAGCATATGGTGAAAACCTTAGCCAACACCCAACTGGAACTAGAAATTCAATCACTCTAGTTTTAGAATTAAGGGAAACTATTAGTTAATATATCCACACAGCAAAACCCAATGTAGCAACCAGAATGAAGTTTTTCCTATATGTTATCCACCAACTAATGAATATGGCACTATCTAGAATAGAGAGAAAAGAATATGATCAATCACTATACACCTTTCCTCTTTTCTCTGCCCTGGTAAGTCTTCATCCTTTGGACGGCATATCTGAGAAGGACAGTCAACCAAATTTCAGCCTATCCATTCATATTAAGCCCCAAATCCTACCTGTAATTCCACATATCTCACCCATTTATTTGCTTTTGAACTACCCTCCCCCAAATTTGAATCTACTTTTGCTTCAAATCTAACCATAGGATTCTGAAACAGTATTAGCTATGTTTGAGATCATAAATTTCCAGCCCCTGTGATCATATCTGCAGAAATGCATCAATGAGAACTGAAAGGAATAATAAACATTAAACCAAAACGGTCTACCTAATGAAACACTACTCCAGCTATCACCTTATTCATTACTCCCGCTATCACCTTTACTTAAGAGAAAGAAATCTCAAAAAGATATTTCAAAGACACTGCCTGTAATCTTTTGCTCCTACTATAATCATCAAAGTAGTTGGGGAATTGAGGGACTGGCAATCCTCCATTAACATCAATGTCCTAGCTGATATTCATTCTCATAATACTCAGTTTTATTAAGCAAACAATTTTTAGGAAACTGGTCATGATACTATGTAGACAAACCAAAGCAAAAGGCAAAAAAGAGCAAGAACAATGGGGAAGTGCTACCAAATATGACTGTTCTTCTATTTGTCTAGAACATAAACATAAACTGCTTAATAATCATTCTGACTACCCTCTCATACAATTCTTTTAAGACCAATTTCTTCAGCTGAGCAATTACCACTGTACCTACAAGGTTAAAAGTAGGAGAGTGAAACATGGGGACCCTTGTATGCAATTCAACTTAAGGTTCTTAATACGTCCCCCCTTTTGAAGTCTGGGAACTCTATTATGTACTTTCTTGTATAAAGGAATCTCTTCTTTCTTCCCCATTAAAAGAGACAGGTATATGACAGATAGATAGACAGACAGATACAGATAGAGCTAAATGAATACACACTTAAAAAGACAATGGAGGAGAAAGAGAAGTCAAGGAATTTCAAAATGCTCCTTGAATCAAAAACACCTAGGGTGTCAAAGATAGGTATAATCTGCTCTAGAGATTTCATTTATCCCCGTTGAGAAAAAAAAAAGTGGGAAAATATTTCATCCCTAACCCATTCCCTATAGCTCCAAACTCCTATGAACAGCAAGCTAGACTGCACAATTTTCCATGCAGAGAAAGAAGTATTGAAAAGTAACAAGTGCCCCCCTCCCCCAAAAAAATCAAACTATAGTTGTCTTCACTACTGCAAAACTAAATAACTTACCTGTACAACCAAAGATCTATCATTGTGGAAATATTATCTCTTTTCCTTATATCCTGAAGGAGTTGGAGCTATGATCTAGAATAGAGCTTAAGCATCAGGGTTTCAGACTCTCAGCTTCAGCCATGGAGAATACTAGAACCTCCTAAATTCCTTTCTTTAAAATAATAAAAAAAAAGAATTAAAGAAACAAATTAACTTACGCTAATAGATTTACCCCTTCTATAATAAGAGGAAATAGCAAGTAATAGACTGTTTATTGTAACAACTTTGGTACTTGTTTGTAACTCCGTAGTCTCAGAGATATTAAGAAACTGGAAAAGCCTTCTTAGAAACCAACAAAGACAAATCAAAAAGAGCTTGAAATATACTAAACCTTTATAACAACTCAGTTTGAGTCAAAATGTGACTCAGTTCTTTTCTAGAATCTAGGCAATATTTTTTTGAGATGACCCAAAGACTGCCCTTGATAAGAAGATTTCTCATACAGAATTTATGATCTCTTACTCTTATTCTAGAGGCCTCCCCAAATTTTGGCCTTCAAGTATGCAAAACTGTGGACTGAACAACAAAAATAATTTGGGTTATACACACAAGAGAATCAACCAAGTCTTCTATATCTCCATCATAACCTTGAGGGGTTATTAAAGTGCTACAAGATTCTACTATAAAGGAAAATTTCTATTATTTTTGGCATATGGATTTTCAACAAAGACAAAAACAATAAGGATTTTCTGGTTTTAGTACCCAGCTGGCCAGATTTTTAATTAACCTAATTACATTTCATTTCTTGGACAGTCTGATTAATTGTAGGTTTACTTTATAATAACGTATTATGATATCCTTTTCAGAGAATGTTGCTAAATAGGTTATTATGAGAGCCCATTTGGAAACAAGGAGGAACACCAGGAAAAAGACTAGTGATGTTTATTATCGAAATTGTCACTTTATTATAAACACAAAACAAGATATTCTAAAAGTGACACTATTTTTGGTGAAAGATTACAATTTAAAAACTGATGCAATTATCAAACCTTATAAACTAGAGTATTACCTAGTAAAAATAAACAGATTACACTTTTAGTCAGCTAGAAGGGGAACAGGGCTAATATCTAATATCTGTAGATGCAATCTCTCCCAAATATGCCTTGTAAATTCCTGAAAAGCAAAAGGTAGGAAAACTCTCTAAATAAAATCATTTAATACTACATTAAAAAATTTTCTAAATTAACATGAGGAGGGTGTGCAATGAAAACATGATCCTACAAAAAGTAACCCTTGATTTGAAAATTCCCTCTTCTTATAACAAAGACTCCAACTCCTTTGTACCCAATCCTGAAAGCCTTTCACAAACATGGAAAACATTACATTCTATAGTGTGAGGCGGTGGTGGCAATCATCACAGGCAATGAGGATCCATAAGTGAGATGCATCTGAGTAGACATGAACACCCAGATCTAGCACTCCATCAAGGTCCAGTCAGCAACATTACTACCCTATTTGGATTGGGTTCACTATAGGAACATCATCCATTATGGTATTTACCAGGCAAGGATATCTGCAACTGTTATTTTCACAGAAGAACTAATACTTACAGTGGAGTTCTACCAGTATTAAGATAAACAGGATCATGCAGATGTGTTTCTTAAAAGCCTGATACACTGAAAAAGAAACTTCAGTCAATAACTTCTACTAACTAAAGCCCACTTGGCCTTAATTAAGATTACATTTTTTTCTTACCTTTTTTAAAGTGTTTCGCCTAGTATTTGATTCCCAAGCGTCTGCATTTATCTGTCATCACTGTTAATGTCCATGTTACATTGAGACTTCAGGTATTAATTATTTATATGGTTGTACTAGCACAACTTGATATCTGTGAAGGGAAACCACAATATAGTCACTATGGATGTGTTACTGTTTACAGATTTGTGGATAAAAGTGATAATATTTCCAAACACACAGCACACTGCATTTTCTAATAAACTTCACAAATAATTCCTTATGTTTAGCTACAAAACGTGTGTTATCTTCAACAGACTAAGAGGATTTGCTAACACTCTTACAAATGATTCTGAGTACCCACATAAAATATTTCAAAATTTAATTCTAAATTAAAATTCTTACAAATTTGAGAGCTCCTTAGATTCCTTTCTGATTACCAATGTAGGTAAACCTCATTTTCCAGAAGTCTATAATTATTCAGACATTAATAGAAAAGTACTTTTTGTGTGTTTTACGATATTAGGGAATAAATCTATAATGCTTAAGAATGCAGTAAAAAAGATCATGATTTTCCCTTAAATGTGACTTGAAAATATTCAATGTCTTTTACAGTGATATTTTTGCCTTGGTCAGATTATCCCTCTGAGACTAATTTGCCAATGTTATTTTGGAAGTAAAGAGAAAATATGTGTGACAAAATAAATGAAGAAATAAATCAAGATGTAGCTGTACAAACATTCCTTAAAGGTAAGCTTCTTAAAAACATAGACTTGGTTGTAGATTACAAGTCTGAGAAACACAGTGATGTGTTTACAATGATGACAAAAAGCATTATCTAAAACCTTAAGTCATTTCAACCAGTTTATTAGTGGAAAAAAAGGAGCTGCAAAAAATAGTCATTCATACATATCAAAGAAAGAAACCTATGAATGGCATTCTGACATGATTCACCATGGTGTGCCATTCCAAATTCCTATATAATAAAAAGAAAGTAAAAAATCTACACAGAAAATGCAGATAGCCTTACATCTGTTTTGCAGACAAAATCTGCTATTGATATTGTTAACCTGCCAGATCTTCTTAGTGATAAGTTTCATTAATAACAGAGTAGAAATTAATGTTATATGTCAATTACATCTCAATAAAAAAAATTGGAGGAAATAAGACAATAGAATAAACAGTGATTAAGAAACACTGATATCAAGGCCAGCACAGTGGCATAGTGGTGAGGTTCGCAGGTTCGTATCCCGGGTGTGGACCTATACACCGTTCATCATGCCATGCTGTGGTGGCGTCCCATATACAAAATAGAGGAGGACTGGCACAGATGTTAGCTCAAGGATAATCTTCCTCAAAGAAAAGGAGGAAGATTGGCAACCGACATTAGCTCAGGGCCAATCTTCCTCACCAAAAAAAAAAAAAAAAAAAGTAACTGATATCTATCCTTAAACACTTAAAACAATTCTCTATTCATTTGTTTACAAATGTTAAAAAAGACTTTAAATAATGCCATAAAAATTAACACAGATATAAGTATTCCTAAATTTAAAAGTTGCTATAAATTCTCTTATAACAAGCAAGGAAGTTAAACTAGCCAAAAATTTATACTCCCTACACTGCATTCTTCATTTCATTCACTATACATTTCAAATTTAAGCATTCTGCACAAATGCTATAATCTTTCTGGAGCAGATCAACTACTTTGAATTGTGATAAGCTACAATAATTTTTTATTTGATTTATTTAACTATAGTAACTTACTTCCTTAAGTTTATAAAAAACTTAAGCTATTTTATCTTTAAAAAGAATACAAAATGGAAAACAAACCATTTAAATCCTGTTCCTAAGGCCTTCTTATTTATTCCTTACCACAGAGCTTTGCTTGTTTTCACATACTAATAAAATTCATTGACTATTCAAGAACTCCAAAAGCAAATCCAAAAACCAATCTTGCCTGAAAAGAATTACTTTTCCTACTATTTGCAGTCTAACACTGGTACTACTGTGTTAAATAGATTGCAGGATCTCAGATTCATGGCACATATGAAATTACTTCAAAAGACTACAGAAAATCTCACTAGAAAATATTATCAGTCCTAGTGATACAGCAAAGTTATAAACCACACAACTTACTTAAAAGTATAACTGTGAGGTCTAAGCTAAACGCAACCTAAATTACAAGACACTGAAATTTTTTTTTAGTTTTACAAGACTCAAGAAAAGAAACTCAAAACAAAGGTTATACTATAGATTCATATTTAGACCCAATTCTTCAGTTGTTATAAATGAAAATATTAAATATGTGCACTCTAGTCTGTCTTTAAATGATTTTAAAAGAAACAAAGGGGGGCATTTAAAGTCAGTTGTAAAAAACATTACGATAATGGTCAAAGATATAAACACCTTTGCTAGGCAATAAAGCTTATCACGGTTACTTGCTATAGAGAGCTGAACTGAATTTTTACTTGGTACAGATTTTAGAGATAAGCCTATTTCACAGTCAACAGAAAGGTAGTAGAAAGAGCATCAGGTTTGGTGGAAGGAGACATAAGTATGATTCCCTACACCACTAATAACTGTTTGACCATAAGCAAACCACTTCGTGCTTCATTTCTTCAACTATAAAACAGGAGACATAATGCCTGCCTACTCCGTCTCAGAGTTATTGTGAAGTTCAGAAGAGATTACGTCTGTAAAGTACTTTAGCTTACTGCTTTTCAAACTTTAGTGTGTCTAAGAAATTTCCTCGAACCAACCACCCCAGAAATTCAGATTCAGAAGTTTTGGACATGCATGCATAAATCTTTATTTTTTATTAAGCACTTCAGGTCATTCCAATGTAGGAGCTCCCCAAAGACGAAGATCATATTTTTTTTTTTTTTAATTTATTTTCCCCCCCCAAAGCCCCAGTAGATAGTTGTATGTCGTAGCTGCACATCCTTCTAGTTGCTGTATGTGGGACGCGGCCTCAGCATGGCCAGAGAAGAGGTGCGTCAGTGCGCGCCCGGGATCCAAACCCAGGCCGCCAGCAGCGGAGCGCGCGCACACAACCGCTAAGCCACGGGGCCGGCCCAAAGAACATATTTTAAAAAGAATTACATCAGTTTCTTCTGAAGCTTCAGTGTTCATAAGCATTATCCTAGGTATTTGCTTAAAATGCAAATTTTTAAACTTTTTCCTTAGAAATTCAGATTCAATAAACTTGGGGCACGACACAGAAACTTCATTTTATCAAATACTACAGGTGATTCAGATGTAAATGGCTCATATTCTATCCTTTTAGAAACCCTGCACTAGATTCTTCCCCCTACATATTTCTCAAATCATTCCCCCCCCCCCCAGTATCATCATCCACGACCAACCTTAGGCCTTCAACATCTCTCACTTGAACTAACCCACCTGCCTTGTAATTGGTCCCTCTACTTTAAGTCTCTCCCCTTACAAATGCAGGATCTACAGAATAATCTAAAATGCACAATTTTGTCACTCTGCTTTCTAAAACCCTTCCAAGGGACCTCCACTTCTGGCTAAGACAGAGTAATAGGAATGAGATTTATGCTGCCACCTGAAACAAATAAAAATCTGGATAAAATACATGAAAATGTTTTTTAGACATTGGAAACCAAACAATGTAGGACAGTGATCAATGAAAGAGAAGAAACAAATGAGGCAAAGCCTTTAATTGCCCCAGCTTACTGTCTGGAGAGTTTCCAGGCTGCAGAGCAGGGCAAGTGATCCCTGGCAAAGTTCAGCAGTCTCCCTGAGTTAAGATGATGAAGTGATGGGCCAGCCCCGTGGCTTAGCGGTTAAGTGTGCCCACTCCGCTGCTGGTGGCCCGGGTTCGGATCCCAGGTGCGCACCGATGCACCGCTTCTCCAGCCATGCTGAGGCCATGTCCCACATACAGCAACTAAAAGGATGTGCAGCTATGACATACACCTATCTACTGGGGCTTTGGGGGGAAAAATAAATAAATAAATAAAATTATTTAAAAAAAAAAAAGAAGATGAAGTGAGGAGTGTAGGGAGATCAAAGTAGCTAGGGTCCCCAGAACATTGTACCAGGCCTTGTTTCCAAGGCCTGGAAAACTACCCAGAAGGAGTACAGGGAAAGATACCCATAGCCAGGGGAATGCAAGAAAATGTGTAACAACTGGGGCGGTTAGTGGTTTGTAGTTCCTGGTTTACAGGTTTACCAGGGTGTGTGGTGTGAATACTCCTACCTATGGCCAATTTCAAGCTATCAAGTAATATCGCTGAGTGCAAAGTTAGGAAGAAATACACAGTAGCACATTAAACATTATATAGTACAGTCAGTCACACGACACTTAACAACAAGGATATGCTCTGAGAAATTCATCACTGGTGATTTCTTTGTTATGCAAACATTATAGAGTGTACTTAGACAAATCTAGATGGTGTAGCCCACTACACACCTAGGCTATATGATACTAATCTTATGAGACCACCATCATATGTGCAGTCCATCATTGACCATGTGATGCATGATTGTATTTCCACCATAGAGATACAACAAATGTACATTACCATCAGAGCGCAAAAATAGTAATATGTAATAATATAATTAGGAGGCAATGAGTTTTGAGTATTTATCACCTTGGTTCTTAATATAATTGATTTAATTATAAACTTATATGATTTAATTATATTAAGAATTAAACTGGCTCACAAACTTCCTAACATTTCAACAATGAACTCGCACAAGCTCTAGCATACCACTACCCATGGCTCACACAGGACCAGGAACAGTTCCTACTAGCCAGAGCAGAAAACCTCCTAATTCACAGGACATCAAATAAAGTGCACAGAAGGGCACTCCCTCAGTAGTGGGGCAAAATGAGCTCTAAAAACTCCGGTGCCACCTAACAAAGATTAAAAGCAAGCCTCAAAAGAATAAAGCCATTTCCAAGGAACTTAACTGTGTCCCAGAACAAAGCTCAAGAAATTTATAGGAATACAAAAACTTCCAGCATGAAATAAGGTACAATTGACAATGCCTGGCATCCAATTAAAAATTATCGGACATGCAAAGAAGCAGGAAAATACCACTAATAATGAGAAAAATCAATCAAGAGAAAAGAAACCATATATGTTAGACTTACTAGACAAGAACATTAAGTTATTATAACTGTAG